TTAAGGAAATTATCTGTGTGTCTGGCATCTCTGCTCATTTCCTCATGTTATATCATTAAATTCTCACAATTACTATATAATGTTAAGTATTAGGATCCCCATTTTACAGATGAGTAAGCTCTGGGCAGGGACCTGTCACCCAGCTCACACAAGTTATTAGTAAGATCTAATAGGCCAATGAATATAATTAAGTTATAAAAGGCTAAGAGCTGTATAACTGGAAGGCACTATATTACTTTTTATACTTTAGTCTTTGTGTGGTAATAAGTGCTTATATTTTCTTCTGGCCAATAGTAGAGGGAATTTATTATTCCCACATAAAGAAATCCTCTTAATGTTTTTTTTTGTTTTTTTTGTTTTTGCACTATGCGGGTCTCTCACTGTTGTGGCCTCTCCCGTTGCGGAGCACAGGCTCCGGACGCGCAGGCCCAGCGGCCATGGCTCACGGGCCCAGCTGCTCCACGGCATGTGGGATCTTCCCGGACCGGGGCACGAACCCGTATCCCCTGCATCGGCAGGCGGACTCTCAACCACTGCGCCACCAGGGAAGCCCTCCTCTTAATGTTTTTTAAAGTTATTTATTTATTTATTTGGCTGTGCCGGGTCTTAGTTGCAGCATGTGGGATCTTCGTTGCGGCATGTGGGATCTAGTTCCCTGGTCAAGGGGTCGAACCTGGGACCCCTGAATTGGGAGTGCGGAGTCTTAACCACTGGACCACCAGGGAAGTCGCCTCTCAATGTTAATTAAAATAAAACTCTCAGAATGCTGCTATACTCAAGTGCAATGCAAACTGTGAGGATAGTCTACCCCAAACATTTCAGGGAATCCTCTGTCCTCTGAAGAGAAGCTGGGGCTCAGGTCTCTGGAGGCAGAAGGCTAGAGTATCTCCTGGTTGCGCCATTTTCTCCCCTTTCTCTCATGGTTTATTTTTCTCACTTTCATTATTCTTGATGGGGGTTTTTAATAGAGCTCAGCGCCATCTTATCCCAGAAAGAAAAAAATTGTCAGAGATAAATGTATGATGAGTATGCAAAAAACAAAAATAGAAATTTAAAAAATTTATTATGGAAGCAAAGAACACTGCCCATAAAATTTAATCTTTGGCAGTTCAAAAAAACCATGAGTTTCAGACTTCCTTGGTGGTGCAGTGGTTAAGAATCCGCCTGCCGATGCAGGGGACACGGGTTTAAGCCCTGGTCTGGGAAGATCCCACATGCTGCGGAGCAGCTAAGCCCGTGTGCCACAACTACTGAGCCTGAGCTCTAGAGCCCGCGAGCCACAACTACTGAGCCCACGTGCCACAGCTACTGAAGCCCACACGCCTAGAGCCCGTGCTCTGCAACAAGAGAAGCCACTGCAGTGAGAAGCCTGTGCACCGCAAGGAAGAGTAGGCTCCACTCGCTGCAACTAGAGAAAGCCGGCGCGCAGCGACGAAGACCCAACGCAGCCAAAAATAAAAATAAATAAATAAATATTTTAAAAATGCTTTAAAAAAAGGGGGGTTTCTAACAAAATAAATGAGACCAGTTTTCTTCCCCTGGGTCTTATGTCTGTTTTATTGCTAGAGAGTCTTTCAACTTAACCTGTCTCCACACCAAGCTCTTCCTTTTCCTTAATTAACATCAACAGTTTTCATTAGCTATTTTATGATTTATCTGTTGGTGATCCTCATTAGCTTTGCCATGGTCTTAAATTTGTCCTGACATTTACTATCTTACTATATAAGGTTTTATGATTAATTCTGAGTGTATACGAGCTAGGTTTCTAGTCATTAACATTTTTTACGTTGTATATATTCACATTTTACAGAACCTCTTATATCTTAACGTTTTTGTTTATAATTTTATATAAATGACTGGCATCCAATTTATTAGCTTCCTCATATGTTCATGCATATAAACAAGGAAAACTAAATAACTATACATCACCCATTCAGTTAATGGTAGACCTTTAAGAAACAGAAAAATATATTAAGATTTCCTGTATCTGCAAAATAAAATTTAATGAAATATTGTAATTTGGCTTTGTAACCAGACTCTGTTTTTCATTGTACACTTATTGAACACATATGCAAAATATTGTCCAAGGAGCAGGGAATAAAGTAGTGTTTCTGCCTCTAAGTAGCTTGACAGTATATTAAAAAACTGTAATAAGTCCAGTCATTTCACAGATTTAGGTATGTTTATTTCAAAATGTGTTGGTCTCCCTTTGTTCCACACTCTAACAATGCAGACAAAAAGCCATAATCCCTACAATAAATTTTTACAATGATTCTTTTTAGATTTTGTGTTTAGCCATTTGTATAACTGTTTTGTTATTCATTCCATGGTTATAAGGGCCTAAAATATGGCAGGTATTAGGGACCCATAGGCAAACACTAAAGGTTCATTATATTCAGATGGAAAAGGAAATTTAATACACGTAAAAAGTGTAAAAGATAAATAAATTACTAATTTCAAGTAATGTTTAGTGCTATTCTTTCAACAGTTGTTTTCTGAGTATCTACTCTATGCTAAAATTCTGATCTATGAAGGAAATCATATAGGATGATGTGAGACTGAAGGGCAGGGGTTGGGGAGTTGTCTTATACTAGCTGTTCAGAGAAGGCCTCTCTGAGGAGACGACATTTGAACTGAGACCTAAATGACAAATAGAAGCAGAAGAGTTTCCTAACTTGGGTCCTGGGAGTCTGTGGATAGAATTCAGGAGGCCTGTAACCTTGGAGGGAAAAATAATTACATCTCCATTTTCTCTAAACTCAGACAAAAAATTTAGCATTTTCTTCCATTTGAATGTAGGCCACAAACTTCAGTAGCATTAGCAGCACCTGTTACTTTGTGATCAGTATTTTAATATCACATCGAAGTTCTTGCAGGATCTTGAAATATCATCATTTCTTTGAAATGATGGTATTTCTTAGATCTGCCACTAGATCTGAGTATACATTCTGCTAATAAAGAAGCACATGTATTACTGTATCAGTTACATGTTACTGTGTAGCAAATTACCCCAAATTTAAGGGCTTAAAATAATACCCCATGATTTTATGGGTCAGCTATTTGAGCTCTACTCAGCTGGGCAGTTCTTACAAACTAACATGGGGTCACTCATGTGGCAGCCATCATCTGGCAGCTCAACTGAGCCAAAGAGTTCAAGATGTTTCACTCCCCTGCCTGGCAGCTGGTGCTGATTATGGGCTGGGCCACGTGCTCCAGCAGGCTAGCCTGGGCTTCTTCACATGGTGGCAGTGTTCCAAGAGAGAAAGAACAAGAGCTACAATGCCTCTTATTTACTTATTTATTTGGCTGTGCCATATCCTGGTTGTGGCATGTGGGATCTTTTAGTTGCGGCATGTGAGATCTAGTTCCCTGACCAGGGATCAAACCCAGGACCCCTGCATTGGGAATGCGGTGTCTTAACCACTGGACAACCAGGGAAGTCCCTACGAAGGCTTCCTAAAGATAGACCTTTAGCCTTCCAAGCTAAAGCTTCCACTGCATTTTGTGGGTCAAAGCAAGTCAATGAAGCCAGTTCAGGGTTGACTTCAGACTCCACTGCGTGTGGCCATAGGGAAATGTGATTAATTGGGGGCCACTACCATAATCTACCTGATTACCATATCATAATTTTGTAAAATATTATATTAACTTAATTTGAGCATAATCAGTGTCCTTTGTAATCTTGTCTTTTACACTGTAAGGGAGGAAAATTTCCTTCTACCCTCTTGGGTTCTGTGACTGGGATAAAGAATTAAACTGACATAAAACAGATTAATAAGAAAAAAGCATACAAATTTAATTTTTTTACAAGTACATGGGAGTGTTCAAAAGGAAAATGAAGACCAGAAGTCATTAGGCCCAAAAGCTTGTATACCTTTTTACACAAAGAAGGGTAAATTGTGGGGATGTGACAAGACAAAGGAGCTTGGGCTAGGGGCAGTATATCGTGGAACAGTGACTAGGAACTAAATGGGGAAAACTAATGGAAGATCATTTTAGTAGATGTGTTTGTACGGGTCCATTTCAGCATCGATTCCCAGTCTCTTGTGATAAGAACGTTCTCTTCCTGGTACAGGAAGGGCATTTTTCTCAGGGGAAATTTCATGTCCTGCTTTTAGGTAGAAAGGGGGAGGGCAGAGAGCCCTTCCTGCATCTGCTGTTTCTCAAGTGCCTTCAGCTCAAAATAATCAATATACCAAAGTGGCATATGTTGGCATGGGAAGTTCTGAACTCTTTCAGTGCCCTTTAAAATATCATTCTGAGAAGAGCTCCATCGGCTTCACCACGTTGTCAAAGAGGGTCATGGCGCAGATGAGGCTAAGAACCCTTGATCTGGAGACAGGGAGTCGGGGAGGGGGAGTGAAAAAGCCTGAAGGCGGGAATGAGCGGCCAAGTCCAACATGATAGGGGGCAGAAGGAAGCTTCTGTGGCTGAAGCCAGGTGACTGAGGCCAGAGTGTCTGGACCAAGCCAGGATTAGACCACGTGGCTTAGTTGGAAGATTGTGAAACTTGCAGAGGGATCCCCCCGGAGTTTGGAAAGTTGGTACTGTATGCATACTAATCTATAACTTTCTTTTATATTTCATAATGTATTGTGGCTCTCTTTGCATTTTAGTGCATAAAGCTCCTCACTCCTTTCTTCTCATTCTTTTAAATAATTTTATAATGCTTCACTAAAGGATGCATAATAATTTATTTCATTGTTCCCCCATTAGCAAACATTTAGACTGTTTCCAATTCTTTGTGTAAATATACATGAATTTATTTTTATTTACCTCTAAGAAAATATGCTTAAGAATGATTTTTAGTTGTAGAATTGCTGGGTCATGTGTATGTGCTTTTAAAGTTTGACAGATATCATTAAATTCTTATTCAAAAAAAGGTGGTACCAATTTACACTCCATGAGATGTTTTTATTATTATTTTTAACTACCAAGACTTTATCTACACTTCATAAAATCTAGAAGTTTTGTATTTACTGTTTATTCTCTTGTTTCAGAACAATGAGATGGTGGAGCTACAAAGAATACGGATGAAGGATGAAATCCGAGAATATAAATTCCGTGAGGCCCGCCTCCTTCAGGACTATACTGAACTAGAAGAGGAAAACATAACGCTGCAGAAACTGGTGTCCACATTAAAGCAGAACCAGGTGAGGTTTAAGAAGATTTTTGGTTACACTCCAGATGGATCTATACCTTCTGACCATTAAGGTTAAATCTTCTATTTATCAGAAAAGAAACTGTCAAAATTTGCCTCAATCTCCCAACATTAATTATGTGCTGAAATTTCCCAACCCTCCTATTTCAGCTAAATTTAAAAGGCAAACCTAGAAGTAGTATAATTACCAAAAAGCTCTATTGGATAAGAAAAATCTTACTTTATACTTTAGCTCTATGTTAATTTATTTCTGGAGTAAGTTAAATGTATGGTAATCAGTTTAACCGCTGACCTCTCATTAAAGCCTGGGTTTGTGAGCCTGTTTTGTAATACAAGCTTAAGGTTTCCCTGCAATCTCTATCAATCTCTCTCTCTGTAAACTGCTTTCAAATCATACGAGGATTATGAAATATAAATCAGTACGAACAACATTATAAGAAAAAAAAGGCCTGATTTCTTTATTCTGCTGTAAGCTGACTAAAAAGATTGCATGTGTACATTTAAATAATTTTGTGGGTAATGAGACTTAGATTGCTTAATTGCTGAATTTTCCTGATCAGTTTGCATTGTGGTTTGTTATAGTTATTAGTAATAGCATTCTTGAATCTGTACTTTTGGTAGAATTTATTTATGAATAAAATTCATAGGTAGTTAAGCAAAGGTGGACTGGATTTCAAGGTCTTTTCAAAGGTGGTTCCTCAACCACAACCCTATTCTTGTCTCAACACTGTTATAACCTCTCAGATCAGGTCATCAAACTGTGCCAGGCACTGTGCTAGGCTACAGAGGTACCAGAATCCAGAGGGTACGATTCTTACCCTCCGTCAACTTAGAGGGCAGCCCAGTTGTATGCTTCCACCTCTCTCCCTTCTCAAGTTGGTATCTCCTTCCAGAACTGTTTCAGTCAGCCCTTCATATCTATGGGTTCTGTGTTTGTAGTTTCAACCAACCACAGACTGAAAATATTCTAAGAAAAGAAATTCCAGAAAATTTCAAAAAACAAAACTTGAATTTGCCGCACACTGGCAGGTACATAGCATTTACATTGTATTAGATATTATAAGTAATCTAGAGGTGATTTAAAGATGAGCCAATGTGCGTGGTTATATGCAAATGCTACAACCACTTTATCTAAGGTTTTTTTTTTTTTTTTGCGGTACGCGGGCCTCTCATTGTTGCGGCCTCTCCCGCTGCGGAGCACAGGCTCCGGACGCGCAGGCTCAGCGGCCATGGCTCACGGGCCCAGCCACTCCGCGGCATGTGGGATCTTCCCGGACCGGGGCACGAACCCGTGTCTCCTGCAGCGGCAGGCGGACTCGCAACCACTGTGCCACCAGGGAAGCCCTATCTAAGGGTTTTGAGCACCCAGATTTTGGGGTCTGCCGGGGGCTTCTGGAACCAATACCCCACAGAAACTGAGGGATGACCGTGTGGTTTTGATAGATATAAAGATGAAAAGTGGAAAGGAAAAATCCAGAAGAAAATTGACACAATTGAAATTTTATTATTGATCATTGCCACTTCTCCCCAGCTTTGGAGTGCTGGGGATCAAAATGTGTACTAAGGAGTGCAGGGGGTGGTTCCAGACCATTAAAAAAGGGTTATCTGGATATCCCATGTGTTTTTATCTCATTCCTTCCCCTTTAAGCACTGAATCGCTGTGTGTGCTGAGGGCTGGCAGTACCATGAGACCCTAGGTCTTGATTTGTCTGGGGACAGTGAGCTCACAGTGGGCAACATTAGATTTTTTTTAAATATATGTTTCTTAGAAATAAGAAGGGTATTTTTTGTTGTTTAGTTTTTTTGGTCGGTGATGAAGAATGTAGAAGACTTGAAGCAAGTTTATGTGATGTGCAAATATTTAAAGTGGTCATTTCTCCTGATTCCTACAGGTCCTCATTGCTCTCTGCACAGGCAGGGGTGCGGAGAGCATCCATCTACACTGTAGGGTTTCCCATCACTGCATGTGGTAGACTAATTTACTCAGGAGGTTAATTTAGGCCAGTATTAAGTATTCTTGAAAGACTGCCAAGGTATCCTGTGAGTATTCATTAGCCCAGATGCCATTTCTGTGGGAATTTGTACTACTAGCCTGGCTGATTACTGCTTACAGTTTACCCATACCCTCCCACCAGTAATTGAAACATGGAAATCAAATGCTTAACTCAGAAGTTTGAAAAAACAAACAAAAATGTATACATCTTTAAAATTTTATTTTGTAGATGTAATATGGTAATTTTCCCAATTAAGTGTCTAATTAATTAATTTGAAATCATTTTCCTTACAAAGGGCTATTCTGGTTTATTTCCTAACAAATGGGTGCACTGTAGTGTCACAAGTCTCTCCCAATTAAGGAAATACTGGGGTTTGTTTTTTTCTTACTATTGGCCTTTATTTACAGGATTTAGCATATATCGTAAACTCTCTAATTAATGAAGTATTAAATATAATACTTTACGTATAAATACCACAGATTTTTTTTTCAAAGACATGATGATGGCTGGCTTTCAATCTCAAAATTGGTCTGAATGTTGCTTTGTACTGAAGTTTCCTATACAAAATATACTCTTCCAGCCTGGTTTGAGGTTTCTCTAAATAGGAAAGCTACTAGAATTGTAAAATGTTTAGTTCAAAGAACTAGAAGATGCTCTTCTTCTGAAGTTCCATTTTCCTGTTAAATGTTGATTATTTTCTAAATAATTGTTTAAATAGCACTTCTTACTCCATATGTAACTTCTATATATTAGTTTGTTTCCATCTCTCTTCACTATAGTATAAACACCTAAAACAGGGGCTGGCCCATTGTAGGCATTAACTATTAATAAATACTTGTTGAAATAATGAATAAATGTTTTTTCTTTATCTTACATCCACAATTCAACTTACAGAGGAAACTAAAATTTAAGATTATTATAATTAACCATACCAATTTTTATTCGTGATCCTACACCAACGAGTTGACTCTGAAAACTTCAGCCACATTCCTCTGTGTGCTGATTTGGTTCTGTGTCTAAAATAAAATTAGACCCAACCTTATAAATGTTTTATACCTTTATACTTTTCAAACCAAAATATCTGAAAGAAGTGCAGTAAGCAGCAGTAGCCATAAAAAAGTGTCAACTGTCAGTTCCCCATCAGAAAAAATCAGAAAAATCTGTTGATGAAACAAAGCTGTTTGTTAGACCTCTTGCAGTAAGATAACAGCTCAACAGAGCCTTAGTAGTATCTCAAAACAGGATGTCAACAGGAAGGATATTCATAGGATTTGAGGATCTGGACTGGTAGGTCTCACATGGTGGGAAAGTGGTTGGGTTAGACAGAGTTTATGACATAGCTTTGAGTTGGGAGGTACAGTAAAGTGAGGGTCTTGATTCAAGTCTTGAGGAAGCTGTTTTAGTTGAGTCTTATCTTCCAGGAGCAAGTTTTTCCGTCAAGCAGCTAAATTTTTTATGCCTAGTCCCAGTATCAGTTAACATAGAGGCAGGACCCAGTACTGCTTTACATAGGACAGGAAATCATGCTCAAGTTTTAGATATGTGATGGCAGGAGAGAGAAATAATAAATTTCATGTCCCTAGTAGCTCACATATTGAGCTAAAGCATTCAATATTTGTTATCTAAGCATTGAAAACCCTAGTTTTCAATTAATAATACAATCATTTTTATTATGAAGAATATTTCCTCTAGGGATATATTTCTATTGATATATTTCTATCAAGTAATAATATCATAAGAGATATTAAAGATATTATTTCCTGGGATCAATTCAGTTTGATTTCATTTAACCAGTATTTCAGGGGTATCTTTCTATGAGGCCATGTACTTTTTAAGAACAAAAACCGTGGTCACTGGCTCAAAGAGCTCATGGTCCCAGTAGGGAAGGCAGGTAATAAACTCAACCATCCATGTAATTGAAGAGTAAAGCTATGTGTTAGGTTTGGCAATACGGGTCCAAATTAAGATCTTTAGAGTTCTAAATAAAGCCCAAATGGAAAACAGCAAGAAAAAAAAAAGATCTTTAGAGTTCCTAAACTCTGAAAATATTATGGTACTTATTTCCAACCCTCATTAAAAATAGAATTACCAAACTATGAAGTTGCTATAATGAATCACAACAAAGTACTGATTTTTCTCATGGTGACTACTTTGATGCTTTCTTTAACATATCAAATACCAATTTTTAAGTGCCTTCTCATTCTATTTCTTGGTGCCTCCACTTTGCTGGGGCTCTAATCATATGATAAAGCCTTGCAATGATGGTACAAGAAAGGAGTGATCTGTTTGCCTGAGTGGGTCAACAAAGACTTCAAATTAGGATCAGAGTCTTGACTTGGGTCTTGAATGATGAATAAGAGTTTTCCAGATGACTGTCTTTGCCTAGGCAGAGAAACATGAAACAGCTGGGTGAATAGGAACCACATGTGAGAGAGTGGAATGAGTGAAGCTGCCCAGCTAGAAAGAGGTCAAGTCCCTAAACACAGTTTATTATTAGTATCTAATATCATAATTGATGTTGTTATGTTTTTTCTATTTTATTTTTTCATTCACAATAGTTTATTCAGCAAATACTTATTAAGAGCAGAATTTTGTTGAAACACTATGAAGGAATACTGAAGCACTGTGAGGGACACCTGGGTGCATAGAAAGTATTTCCTCTAAGTAGTTGTGGAGAATATTTATTAAAAATATTTATTAAAAGGTGGCATGTGGTAAGAGCCATGGAAAAGGCCCCAAAGAAGGCATTTGGGCTCAGAGCCGAGTTCTCTTTCACCTATAGACTTTCACGACCAAGAGAGTGTTTGAACAGGCTCTTATTCGGTTGTAATTCAAGAGTAATTATTGATAACAATATATATGTATTATTTTTCTTAAAATCACCTTTATTCCCACCACTAAAGAACAACTATTATTAACATTTTGTTAAATTTCCATTTGATCTCTTGTGTTCCACAGTCGTAATACATTATCCCTTTTCACTCAGTTGTATTTATTTCCTATATCATTACAAACCTATTGTTGACATCGTTTTGATAACTAAGATTATATCATATTCTTAAGAAATTATTTGTTCAAGGGATTATGGCTTTGCTTTTTAAAAAAATTATCTCTTAGGGATAGATCCTAAAGTATGTGATATCTAGGGGTTAAAATAATCCAACTAGGGGAGTGAATGGAAATATAGATGAAAGAAGAGTAGACAGGAGTTGATGACTGTTGAAGCTGAGTGGTGGGCTCCTGGGGGTTCATTGAACTCTTCTTGCTACTTGGGTATTTTTACATTACCCACAATAAAAAGTTTTTTAAGAAAGAAAAAAAAGAAAAGAAAAACATCTCATTATGTGATGGTAAAAATATTTGGTAGATTTAGATTGTTCTAAATTCTTTACTCTCTCCCTCTGCCACGTAACCTGGCAGTGCCCTAGAAAGGGCAGAGTAAATTGGCCAACTCCATTGACCTTGGTCTTAGTCATGTGACTCTCTGACCATTGGAATGTTAGCAGACATGATGGAGCACAGATTTCAGACATACTACCTTGGTTTGACTAATCCCCTTACCTTCATGCCCCAGGAAGCGTGACCCTTCAAGTTTGGTCCTAAAACAAGACATGTGCAGCTGACCTGAACACAGTCTGAAGCCTGAAGCCAAGTCTATCCAACTGGCAGCCTGAAGCAGAGCTGCTGGTGCTGGCACACAATCACCTGGTTATGTGGGGATCTTTCTTGCAGCTTTGCTTGTGTAAGAGATCTTCCGCCAGTTTCCAGTTGGTTTTCTGTGAGAATTGTCCCACATGTAGATGTATTTGATGTGTTTGTGGGGGGAGGTGAGTTCCATGTCCTCCTACTCCACCATCTTGATCCACTTCCATGTATTTTTTTGTTTGGGAGTAATTGGTACTGTTATTGCAGGTTCTATCCTTAAGCACATGAAGTTTTTCTTTGCTTTCTCATCTTACTCTCAAACATATTTTATTGAGATTATATTCTTATTGTGATCATTTAACTAACTTACCCTGAGTTTAAAAATTTCCTCATTATTAATAATTAAATAAAACAAGTAATAGTGATGATAAAAATCTTTTCTTGGATTGTGAATATTCTGATAAACTATTACAAAAAAATATTCTTGATTTATTAAGCAAACAGTGCCCCCTTTTGACCACTGGACTCCATAAAAGAAATCCTGAGAGAGAGGTACCTTTTTCATCTCTGCTAGGAATTGAATTTATATGTATGGATAGCTAAAGAAACCATCCTGTGTTACCTTAATGGTGTATATACCGCGTGCTTCTCAGATTTATTTTGTAGCGTTTTAATTTTTAAATGTTAGGTCCACTAGAGTGTTTAATGGCAGTTTTGTTAGACCCAAATTTTAGTTTTATGAATCTTCTTTATCGTATCTGATTCAGGTTGAATACGAAGGCTTAAAGCATGAGATTAAGCGATTTGAGGAGGAGACGGTGCTGCTAAACAGCCAACTGGAAGATGCCATCCGGTTGAAAGAAATCGCTGAGCACCAACTGGAAGAAGCCCTTGAGACCTTAAAAAATGAAAGGGAGCAAAAGAACAGCCTGCGGAAGGAGCTCTCCCAGTACATCACACTCAATGATAACCATATCAGCATTTCAGTTGACGGACTCAAGTTTGCAGAGGATGGAAGTGAACCCAACAATGATGACAAAATGAACGGGCATATTCATGGGCCCCTTGTGAAACTGAATGGAGACTATCGGACTCCCACTCTAAGGAAAGGAGAGTCTCTACACCCTGTTTCTGACTTATTCAGTGAGCTGAACATCTCAGAAATACAGAAATTGAAGCAGCAACTTATGCAGGTAAGAACTTTGTTTAGGGCTGTTAGAGTGAATATTTTGTAAGTTACGTGTACTGTGTTGTGGGATATCTTATTGTCACATTTTAGTTCCAGATTATTTTTTAAAATATTCTTTAACTAGCAACTTTGAAAGTACAATAGTTTAGAAAGACACAAAAGAGGTGTTGAAGAGAAATCTCTCATTTGCATTGCTTTATGAAATTTATTTCTTAGATAAATTAGATAGCAATGGAGTGTGAAGGGAGAAAAGATAGTGTCTTGATGCATTTATCACAAAAGAATTCAAAAGCTTTATACACAAGAGAAATGACAGAAAATGAAGTTTTCTATCACAAGCAACTCTGTGTATAGCTTCAAGATGAATGGTTATACTTCACAGCAATATTTTAAGCTCTAAAAGACATGAAGGACATGACATGGGGAGGGGGGAAGGGTAAGATGGGACAAAGTGAGAGAGTCATGGACATATACACAATACCAAATAGATAGCTATTAGGAAGCAGCCGCATAGCACAGGGAGATCAGTTTGGTGCTTTGTGACCACCCCGAGGGGTGGGATAGGGAGGGTGGGAGGGAGGGAGATGCAAGAGGGAGGAGATATGGGGATATATGTATATGCATAGCTGATTCACTTTGTTATAAAGCAGAAACTAACACACCATTGTAAAGCAATTATACTCCAGTAAAGATGTTAAAAATAAATAAGTAAAAGACATGAAGGACTTTCTATATATAAACTAGCAGGATATCATATGATTATGATCGTATGATTAAAAATACAGAACAGGTATAAATCTGAAACCAAGGATTTCTTCTCCCTACATGAGCTAGGCTTTAAATTTTTAGCATCTTCTAATCAAATGTCTTGGGGAGAGTCCCACAAGCTTACCTCACTGTGAAATGGCTTTCTAATGTAGTCTTGCTTCCTGACTATACGTTAATCCAGTGATGATGGAAATGTTGTCAGAGGAGCAGCATCGCCACCACCATCATCACCTGTGGGCTGCTGAGGGACAAATTGTTGGGCTCCCCACAGATCTACTGAGCCAGGTATCTGCTTCAACAAGCTTGTTAGGTGACAAGTTTGAGGCTTGCTCTTCAGTCTGTTATCCCACCAAGGTTCTTTGCATAAAGCTGATAATTAAAGGCCTTAAGACTCTGGCAATCACTTTTTTTATAGCAAACAGGGCTTATAATTTTCTTTTCTATTTATTTATTTATTTATCTATCTCTCTATTTATTTATGGCTGTGTTGGGTCTTTGTTGCTGAGTGTGGGCTTTCTCTAGTTGCAGCGAGTGGGGGCTACTCTTCATTGCAGTGCGCGGGCTTCTCTTGTTGTGGGGCAGGGACTCTAGGTGCTCGGGCTTCAGAAGTTGTGGGGCGTGGGCTCAGTAGTTATGGTACATGGGCTTAGTTGCTCTGCTGCATGTAGGATCTTCCCGGACCAGGGCTCGAACGCGTGTCCCCTGAATTGGCAGGCAGATTCTTTTTTCTTTTTTTCTTTTTTTTTTTTGCGGTATGCGGGCCTCTCACTGTTGTGGCCTCTGCTGTTGAGGAGCACAGGCTCCGGACACGCAGGCTCAGCGGCCATGGCTCACGGGCCCAGCCGCTCCGTGGCATGTGGGATCTTCCTGGACCGGGGCACGAACCCGTGTCCCCTGCATCAGCAGGCGGACTCTCAACCACTGCACCACCAGGGAAGCCCAGCAGGCAGATTCTTAACAACTGCACCACCAGCGAAGTCCCAGGGCTTATAATTTTCTGCCTCTACAGAAATGATGACTGAAAATATAATTAGCAGAAGTAAATAAGACTAGAGAACCCATGAAATTAATATATTATTAGGCTTATTTTTAATATTATATCAAAAGTTAACATACCCTTTAACTTTTTTTTTTAATATTTATTTATTTTTGGCTGCGTTGGGTCTTCGTTGCTGTGCGTGGGCTTTCTCTAGTTGCGGTGAGCAATGGCTACTTTTCATTGAGGTGCACGGGCTTCTCATTGCGGTGGCTTCTCTTGTTGCAGAGCATGGGCTCTAGGTGCGCGGGCTTCAGTAGTTGTGGCTCACAGGCTCTACAGCGCAGGCGTAGTAGCTGTGGTGCATGAGCTGAGTTGCTCTACGGCATGTGTGATCTTCCCGGCCCAGGGATTGAACCCATGTCCCCTGCATTGGCAGGCGGATTCTTAACCACTGCGTCATGAGGGAAGTCCACCCTTTAACTTTTAACTTTACCTGCCCAGTGCTTTTGGCTGCTGAAAGAGAATTAATGAGAATTCATTTTCTCAGTGTTCAATTTGAATCAAGGTAAGAGGGTATGGCCACTGGAAGAAAATTAATTTCATATAGATTTACCTGACTGCAAAGTGCAGTTTTGTGTAGGTAATACTTTTCCATGTCTTTTTGCTCACACATTTCTTGTGAAAAAAAATTTTTGTGACATATATTTACAAGAACATATGCCCTCAAATTGAATAGAATTAATGTAAAATTTTTCTTAAACTATCATGTTGGTTTCTTTAGGATAAAAATTTAGTGGGTTGAAGCTTTTGTTTTTTCTTTTTATTTTGGTGGCAGTGTAGAGTATATGAGGAAGAGGGGGTTTTATGTGTAAACAGCTCAGTAGTTTTCAATCACGTCAACTATTGGTTGAAAGCTCAGAGCTGTTCTCAGTTTTAATCCTAAATGTAATCTGAGCTGGGGAATACAAAAGTCCAAAAGAGAGGAGTAGTTTAATCAAAAGAATGGTGGAGAACAAGTTCTCAGCAAGAGAGTGGTTCTCAATGGGAGCCACCTTGCAGCATTTGGGGTGGGATAGTTCCTCATTGTCTGAGTCTGTCTGATGAGCTACAGGAGGTTTAGCATCTCTGGTCCCAACCCATTAAATGCTCATTACATCTCCTCATAGATGTGGTGACCAAAAATGCCCCACACATTTCAAATGTCCCAAGGGTCAACCTCTAGTCGAGAATCATTCTTAGAGGGACAGCACTTTACTCTCCCATAAAATGGGGATACATTTTACCTTCTTCAAACTGTCATGAAGGTTTTTGAGTTAATGTACACAGAGTGCTTAGAACAGGGCCAAGCACATGATAAATGTGCAATAATTATGAACTATTATCATTATTTCAACTCCACAATGCCTTTAATTTGTTAAGCACTCCATTTATTTAGCTATTATTAATATAATTAACTGATATTGTTGGATGATTAGCTCAAGGATCATCATCTCAGATGGGTGTAATGTGGTTGCTGGTAAGTCTCAGGGTGTGAGACAGTCTGAAAAGGGATATTCATTCAGCAAAAAGTGAGAGTGAGAAAAACTTGGCTGGATAAACCGTCCCTCAATATATGAGAAAACTGTGTACCTTTGAATCTTTCATTAGAACTTAATTAATGCTGACAGTTTATAAAGATGTAGAGGGACACAGGAAGGGCCTTATGTCCCAAAGTTTGCTCTTAATTTAGCTGTAAAAAACAGGCTCCACACAGGAAGGGCTTTGCAGTGTCCAGTCTCACACTTGGAACACTAACTACTAATTTTGTTGTAGGCCAAGTAACCACCTCTTTTCTTTTAACCAGCATTTTTGTAATATATCTCATTCAAATTGTTGAACACAAGTATAGCAGAATGTATCTTCTCGTGCATAATTTCTTTATAATCTGAGTTTTTCCTTAGCTATGTGTCCCCTTGTGTTTAATTCATATAAATAAATTATAAAAACATTACAGGAGGGCTTCCATAGTGGCGCAGTGGTTCAGAATCCGCCTGCCAACGCGGGGGACACAGGTTCGAGCCCTGGTCCGGGAAGATCCCACATGCCGCAGAGCAACTAAGCCCGTGCATCACAAGTACTCAGCCTGCACTCTAGAGCTCGCATGCCACAACTACTGAAGCCCGCGTGCCTAGAGCCTGTGCTCCGCAACAAGAGAAGCCACCACAATGAGAAGCCCGTGCACCGCAACAAAGAGTAGCCCCCACTCTCCACAACTAGAGAAGGCCTGCGCACAGCCACGAAGACCCAATGCAGCCAAAAATAAATAAATTTTTTTTTAAATTACAGGATACATTGCATAGAAGTTATTGCAGTTGGTGTTGATGTGAATGAGCCTTGAAAATAATATGGCAGTTCTAATAAACAACACTTACACACACCTTGCAGCACATACCATGGCAGTACCATTGTTTTGGACCTTCTGAGGGAGCAATAAAATGCACTTTTACTATGACTATCTGGAACACTTGGGGCCAGATGTATTTTGAAATTAAATATTCAGAATATAGAAAGTTTAGGCAGGGAGAAAATTTCCCCTCTTCCCTTCTAGGTTCTTTGGCTGGCCTAATAATTAAATTGAAGACAGATTAACAAGAGAAAAACAAATTTAATTTCGTATGTAGAAGGGCAGAGGCAGGAATGTAACACCCTATACCAGGGAATATGCAGCTTTTAAGATTTTCTTTCATAGGATTAAAGAAACCCTTTGAGGGACTTCCCTTGTGGTCCAGTGGTTAGAAATCTGCCTTCTAATGCAGGGGACGCAGGTTTGATTCCTGGTTGGGGACTAAGATCCCACATGCTGTGGGGAACTAAGCCTGCAGGCCACAACTAGAGAGCCTGTGTGCCGCAACTACTGAGCCCGCGAACCCTGGAGCCTCCCCACCTCAACTAGTGAGAAGCCCGTGGGCTGTGATGAAGAGCCTGTGTGCCTCAACTAGGACCCAATGCAGCCAAATAAATAAATATATATTTTTATGCTTTAAATATACTTTTATTTCTGTTTTTTTAATCAGTCCAAAATAAATATTTTAAAAAATAAAATAAAGAAACACTTTGAAAACAGCATACCTGAGTCAAAGCCTATCAGCCTCTTCTTATCTTGCAAGATTCCATCTATGCATGTAAATTATGTTTTCCCCACTAATGATATTTACTTAACCTGGTTCCAAAAAGAAAAAAACTATGTTTATGCCTTGGGTATCAGGAATGTTGGGTTA